AGACTTTATTGTCGTTTTCTCTTTGTTTTTGTTTTACTTTTTCCTATCTTTTGTCTTTTCGTTCTCTCTTTTTGTAAAACATTCTTTTTATCAACTGTTATTCCACTCACCCAGTTCTCCAGCACAAGGTAGCCAGCCAGTCTATGAACTAGCTAACCTCCCTGTCATTCCGCTTATTTCTTTTTTCTTCCCTTTTATTATAGCATTGTTGATGAGTAAACCAGCAACCACATGTGGTTTATTTACTGCTTCCAACTTATATAAAGTACTCAGGAATAATTTTTCACTGTCATTAGCTGCAGAACAAAGTTAGAAATATGCCTCTCGTATGTATAGTGGGTATCTCTTTTATACCCAGAATATTGAACAGTGGCACATTAGGTGCTTCCTTATACCTAGCATGTGTACCTTCGTTAGCTGCCCCGAAATAATCGACAACGGGCCCTAAAAGGGAGGCTACTCAAACGTGTTGTGCGCAGGCCTGGTAATATGTTTTAAACGCGGAGCTGTTAGTCGTACGATATTCCGTTTCAGTGTCGGCAGTGGCGCTTTACACACCCTTATTGTGCATGATCGCGTCTCGCGCCCCGTGCAACATGCTTGCGTCTCTTACTGAGAGAGAGAAAGAGAGGTTGAGAAAAGGAAGGGAAGCAACTTCTGCAGCCCTAATTAGCAATATGGCTCCGTACCTGTAGAGGGTGGGGTGAGAGTATTAAAGATGTGGAGAAGAAAGAAGAGAAGAGAAAAGTCGTCCATAACTGAGGATGTTGTGGGTGGCTTTTATAGCCGGTTTTCCAGTCCAGCGTCCCCAAGGAAGCGAAGAACCACCTTGAAGATTGGGTTGTGGTGCTGTGCAGTGAAGAGGACGTCCCTCTGTGTCACCGTGGGCAGACTATGGCGATGGAGTGCAGCGAGCAAGACGTCTCTGGGCGAACACAGAACACATGCTCTATGATTTCATCTGCCCCGTAGGCAGTGCACGCAGAAAACGAAGCTCTGCCAAGTCGATGACTCCGGGCCGCAGGCCACGAGCAGCGAGTGCGTAAGTGAAGTAGAAGGGACCTCCCTCTCCTGGTAAACTCCCGGTCAGGCAGCCGAGTTCGTGGTTCCATCCTGGCTACACGATCATCAGGGTGGCAGCGTAGCAACAGGTTCCTCAAATGAAGCCTCGAAAAGTCTAAGGCGACCACGGCACGGCACACAGAAACGGTGGAGGGATGCGCTTCATTCACCAAGGCGTCTGCCTGCTTATTTTCCTGGAGTTTCACAAGAGATTGGACCCAGAGCAGAGAAACCTTACCCCACTGGCAAGGAGGATGTGCAGCTCGGTGAAGAGCAGCTTTGTTTCGAAGCCTGTCCGTTGCGGTTTCGCCATGGCCAGAACGCAGCACTTGAGTTGCACGCGACAGCCACGGGGCACATTGTGGGCTTTGCCGCCAAGAGGTCCACCGCCAGGTGGAGACCGGCCGTTTCTGCGGCCGTTTCTGCAGTTTCAGCCGTTTCTGCAGTTTCAACAAAGAAGTACTTTATGCACCACAATAAACAAGGACGAATCAAGGGCAATGGCTCCATTTTCACAACAAGAGTGGGAATGGGCTGAGAAAAGGGTTCCTAGTACTACATCAACAGGCCCAGAAGGCATTCCAATTAGGCTGATAAAGACATTAGGTCCGAAGTCTAAGCAGGCTTTGAGAGAGGCAGTGAGCACAATAATAATCGATGGTGAAGTTCCCGATGAATGGAAACTTAGCAGGATGAGCATGATCTATAAAGGAAAAGGGGACAAAGCTGACATAAACAACTACCGTCCTATAACAATGACATCAGTGGTCTACAGGCTGGCGATGTAGATTATAAAGGAAAGACTGCAGGCGTGGATAGAGGATGAGGGGGTGCTGGGGGAACTGCAGAATGGGTTTCGGAAACACAGGAGGTTGGAAGACAATCTGTTCTCACTGACGCAGTGCATCGAAATAGCAGAAAAAGAACACAGGCCCCTGTGGCTAGCATTTTTGGATATCAAGGGAGCGTACGATAACGTGGTTCAAGAGGAATTGTGGGGAATACTGGACACACTAGGCGTGGAACATGTAGTCACTAATCTTTTAAAGGGTATCTATAAAGGTAACAAGGTAGTTATAAAGTAGGAAAAACAGGTATCCAAGCCTGCAGAGGTAAAACGGGGGCTTAGGCAGGGGTGCCCCCTGTCACCCTTATTATTCATGATGTACCTACAAGGATTAGAGACAAAATTAGAGGGAAGTGGACTGGGCTTCAACCTCTCTTTAGTCAAACAAGGAAAACTTATTGATCAGGCACTACCAGCATTAATGTACCCAGATGATATAGTGCTAATGGCCAACAACAAGGAAGATTTGCAGAGATTGATGGACTCCTGCGGTAATGAGGGAGATAGGTTAGATTTTAGATTCAGTAAGGAAAAATCAGCAGTCATGATTTTCAATGACAACGAAGGTAGTGAGCTTAGAATACAGGAGGTCACGCTAGAGATAACAGATAAATACAAATATCTGGGCGTATGGTTAAGCAATGGGACCGAGTATCTGAGGGAACACGAAATATACGTGACGACTAAAGGTAACAGGAATGCAGCAGTCATGAAAATTAGGGCACTGTGGAATTACAATAGGTATGATGTTGTGAGAGGAATATGGAAAGGGGTCATGGTTCCTGGGCTGACGTTCGGCAATGCGGTCTTGTGCATGAGATCAGAAGTTCAAGCAAGATTAGAAATTAAGCAACGTGGAATAGGTAGGCTTGCTTTAGGAGCTCACGGGAATACACCAAATCAGGAAGTACAAGGTGATATGCGATGGACATCATTTGAGGGCAGGGAAGCTAGCAGCAAGATAAAATTTGAGAAGCGATTGAGAAAAATGGGGGAAGAGCGTTGGGCTAGGAAGGTTTTCAGCTACTTGTACATGAAGAATGTCGATACAAAATGAAGGAAGCGAACCAGGAAGTTGACTGGTAAATACTTAGAAAACAGCAGGTGGCCAAACCAAAAAGAACTATCGGTTAAGAAGAAAGTAAAGCAAACAGAGACTGACATGTGGAGAATGGGCATGACTAAGAAGTCCGCACTAGAGATCTATCGAACTTTTAAGCAGGAAATTGCCAAGGAAAGGATCTATGATAATACTCGGGGTAGTTCTCTACTGTTTGAGGCCAGGACGGGAGTACTGCGATCAAAGACATATCGGGCCAAATACGAAGGGTAGACACAGTATGCAGTGCGTGTGGAGAGGAAGAAGAAACTGCCGAACACTTGATAATGTTCTGTAAAGGGCTTCACCCTATAGTTCAGGATGATGGCGCAGAGTTTTTCAAAGCACTGGGGTTTAGGGACCGGGAGGGCAAAATAAACTTTAAGCGGGTAGACTTAACTAGAAGGAGGTTATCTGATTGGTGGCTAAAGTCAAGGCACGAGTGAAAATTAAACTCTTCACTGCAAAGTACGAATCCTCAAACTCACTTTTAAGGAAAAAAAAATATAGATTTTGGTTCATTAGGTATTACGGCTTGGTGGCGCTAGCCACCGCCCGATCCAAAGGGTACAGCCATATCCATCCATCCATCCATCCAGTGGTAGAGCAGGCCGCAAAAGGGAGACGACGGGAGGCCGTCTTGTGTTGGCGGCTGGCCCAGGAAAACACCCACAAAACTATCAGTTCCCTCCCCTTCTCTCGTTTCGCAAGTCCAACGCAGGCAGCATGTGCTAGTAAAAAAAATTGACTGCTCGCTCTGCACAACAATTCACTGGGTACTGGATCGTGCGTTCGAGATTCAGTCAAAGGCTTGGCTTTCGCTTGAGGTTGAAGGACGATGATCCTTAATTCAGTCAGTATGAATAATAAAGACGAATGAACAATTAGGTATTGGAAAACCATACCCGATTTCACAACACTCAAGCGATGCCCCCTCCACTCGGCGACGTATTTACTCGAGTTCCCCCGTAGGAAGACGCAGGTGACATTTTTTTCAATTACATTTCTTTTTCACATTAGCATAGCGGTTACAAACTATCGTTTGCGGCGGCGTATAACTACAGCGTCTTAATTAGCTATTATTGTGATATATATATATATATATATATATATATATATATATATATATATATATATATATATGTATATATATGAGATATAACAGACAGTAATGCCAAGGAATCTACAGGGGAAGTTATTAAAATCAATGGAATGTAAATAAGAAGAAAGGAAAGTGGATGAAAAAATTACCAACTGTATTTTTTCATCCACTTTTCTTTCTTCTTATTTACATTCCATTGATTTTAATAACTTCCCCTGTACATTCCTTGGCATTACTGTCTGTTATATCTCATTAATATTGTGTTAAAAACACGGAAAAACGAGCCCTTAGGTATACACTTCTTTCCCTTATATATATATATATAATATATATATATATATATTTATATAAAGCTCTTACTGTAGTATAATATATAAGGTCTTAACCATCATCACTGCCCCCAGAGTAATGACCGACAGCAGGGAAAGGCTGCTTAACTATGGCTATGTATGTAGTCAGGTGAAGCAAACAATAACTGCCACCACCAGTGGTATCTGTCACCCAGGTTGAATCCACTGCTTAATATTAAAAAGCGAGTTTGAGGGCACGGAGCCTCACCTACTGTTAAATGTCATCTTGCTTGATTGACGATGAAAGTCAGTAACAGTAGTTGAATTTCGCATAAAAACTTATTTGTTTCTTTTTTGTCATTTCGGGTGATGGTAGTTAGGGTCAGTGGTGGCGGTAGAAAACTACCTCACTGCAACTGTCAGTTGGACCAATAAAAGCATTGCCTGTAAAATAATATGTAGTCATGGTCACACCTACACCCAATACAAAGGAAAACACACAAGTTGAAATTTGTCAACTGCGTGTATAAAGTATACAATTTCTTCTATTAGTAAGGTAAAAAAAATCATTCTATATGTTGTTGTTGTTGTTTTTTTCAGATTCGGAGCAAAGTATTTCGTCAACTTTACGGAGGAGGACATGATGAAAATGAACGAGACCTTCTCGTATGAAAGATTACTTTTTTCTGCATGTTGGGTTTTCATAATATTTTTGTCGCCACAAAAGATCACTGGTATTGCGGATAAGGGCACACAGTTTGCCACTGATAAGCAAGCATAACTAGTTTATGAATTTTATGCTCACATTCTCCACGACTTTTTCCACCATTCATTTCATTCCCTGTAGAAGGGTTTTTATGCGAGTATACACAAGGTATAATAATACCACTTTTTACCAAGGAGAGCATGACTGGGCGTATTTTATAAAAGCGTAATTTTGAATAACTTCTTTTTGTGCTAGTTACGACCAGTGCTGCCAAATGATACCAAGCAGACAAGTAAATCCCTATCGCAATAAAAGCACTGAAGAAGCGGCAACGACACGTTTTCCAATACTGAGAATATGCACATATAAGATTGAAAATTTGCTCAAATAAAAAAGGGAAACTTTAAAAGTCACCTAATAGTTTTCTACAGCGAAACTATGCGCAAATATTATCACAAGAAGATTGCTACTCTATAATGTTTTCTTCAGTGTATAGCCTCGATTCGTTTGAAGGCAGTTTTGGCAACGCATGATTAACCTCAATGGTGTAGCCAGGTGGCGCCACTCGGGGCCCGTGTCTGCCCCCTCTCCCTGAAATATTTTTGGTCATGGTATACAGGGTGAGAGAAGATCGTTTCAGAAGGTGCCTCTTTCACTGCCTTTGAAATCGAGGTGCCCCACAAAAATGTTCTGCTTACACCCCTAATTAACGCTACTTGTCTTTCCTACAACGTGTGCTCAACTTGAACACTGAATCTTAGGCTTGCACACAAGGGTTGGTCAGTAGGAGCGACCACTCCCAATTCAGCTAAAGGTGAGGTGGGTGGAAAAATTTGCCACATTCCTTGACTTAGCAGGATGCGCGGGGGGGGGGGGGGGCTGCGATTGACCTTCTCCTTCCTTAATGGGGAACTCCGCGCATGTGCGTGTGCTCAACTGCTCAGTCATCTATAAACACGCAATTAGTGAGCGACAAACCTGTATTTGTGAGCGTGATGACCACTAAAAAAACTATATTTGCTACAAAAATGAAAATAATGCCCAAGAAACACGAGAACTGAAAGTGAAACTCTAGAAGAGACTCGGATAAATAAGCGCTAACCCGCTTACTATAGGATGAACTGGCGATGTATTGAAACTACTGTGCGCGTTATCAACAATATTGTGGCTTACCAGTAGTGCCTCTAAAATGTTGTCGTTTTTTGTTCAGACTCGTTAACAACACTTCACAGCATCCAATAATTACACTAACGACAGCCCTATGAAGCAAGTGAAAGCTATAAATATATAGTTCATTCATGTGTTCAGTAAGGCCTGTCCTGTCCGAAAGTGTTTGAGCATACCACTGGCCTCTTTCGCACGCCATATAATTCTTATGAGAATATGTTGAAAGGGTACGCACATGTACCTACAAACTTATTTAGAGCAAGAGCTGGGGAAAGACTGAAATGACAGCGGTCAAAAACACTGGAACGTTCTGGAAAGATGGGATTGTTTTTACTTGTACTAGTGAGGGACGAAGTACATATTATTGTGCTCTCTAAAGCGAACACAAATTACGTTCAACCATAAAAATACACAATAATTAAATATTTCAATAGTGAAAATAGGATTGGTCAGGCAATAAAATTGAGGCAATATGAAATATACTCAAAGGAGTGATTTCCGTACTCTGAAGTATTTTCGCATGAGTCAAAGCCACCACCATAACATATTGTCGCATTAAAATATATTGATTCTACATTCTGGTATGCGTAGCAGCGTTGGTGTTCGTATCATTGACATTGTGGCGATCATGTTTCTTTCTTTTTCACATTGCGAATTTACAAAAAATGCGTGTATCACCCGCTGCAAAGTGGCCGAACAGCACGCTGAAAGATTACATTGTGTGCGACAGTTTCGTTAAGGTTGAAACGTCCTGTCAGTCTTGAGTGAATTAAGAAATCGCAGGATTTCAAAGCTACAGTATAACACAAAGGCGAATTTTCAGTGCACTGCTTACTGATATTGTAATGCAAATGAAAAATAGTAAAGTATAAACTAGAGGGTATTTTTCCCTGTCGCATTCGAGATTCCTTACAGCCCTGTAGCTACAGAAGAACGACAACTCGAAGACACCGAAGCCGAAGCTGGTTATTTCAACGACCAATGCGGTGATGACAACTGTCGTTCTAAGTGAAGCTGTCAACGCGGACCACGTCGTCCACATTGTTTGTCGCCGAGTGACCGCTATTGTTGACACCGGCTCTCACTTTTCGATCATAAGCCAGAACTAGCGCACAGACTGAACATGACATGGTACGGGCTAAACATGACAACTGTCGGAAGTCAGTTGATGACGGTTAGTTTAAAGTGCAGAGCCCCTCCCTCATCATTCTTCGCACGTGCCGAAAAGAGCCTATTGGGGAAATGGATTACTTGCGCGAATGTCGGGCTTTGATTTACATCTGTGACACGAGCGTAACGTTCTCTGTAGGGAGCTGCTAACAATTAGACGAAGGAGCGACCTTGCTTACTAATCTCCGACTTTGACGAAATACCTAGGCTATAGAGTTGTTCCCTTGTACTCATGCAGTACGACACTTTACAGGATAAGACTGTGATCAATGAACACAAGAGTGTGCTAGCATTTATTTGCAGCATTTATATTTTGGCGGCTGTGAGCAGTGTCATCGACAGATGCGCTGAACTCTTGTTGGAGTATTTCTTTAAGAAACGCCGACACATTGTAAGACGCGCTGTTGCTAGGGCAACAAGTTCGTATTTCGCTTTCCCAGTAGGTTGCTTGCGTTACATACAGTAGAAATCTCAGCAGAGAAGTTATCGCCAACGATGCTAAAATAAAAGTGAATCAATCGTGATTTCAATTTTTCGTGGTAATCGCAAGGAATCATCGCTGATCTCTTTTTATTCAATTTTGCACGGCCTTTCTGTCCTCACAACAACCCCCGCTAATATGGAGCGCAAACAACGGAGTGCACTGTGTGTGACTGATATATTATGGTAAGCGGACTCGAAGAAACTCCTGCTGCAGATGACCACTTACCATGATGTATCAGTGCCTGTCATCGGTATGTGATTAAGAAGAGTGTAGGCGAGAAACGTGGAGGAGGTCATGAGGAGGTTCTATAACACGCACAATTCATGAAACATGTCGAGCGGTATGAAGAGTATCAGTGACGCGAGACCCCGAGAGGCAAGACGAATAATGCTTACGCCTCATAGCAATAAACGTCGCCTATACCAATTGCTTCATGAACAAAATTGAACTGCCATACTCACCTATGTGTGTCAAATGTAACGTCGTAAAAACGTCAATCATGTCCTTTGTCAGTGCACGATATACGCATGAGAGAGACAGTCTCTGAAGATAGACTTAAAACTACAAGGGGACACAAACTTGAAGTTGACAGCCATTCAAGGCCCATGGCGAAACAGCTCCGATGCGGTACACGCGAAAAAAAATCGCTACTGACGTTCTTGAGGGCCACAGGTCTTAGCAAAACGTAATAAATAGTGTAGTGCATGTATGTGGCTGTATGTGTTTTGTGTTTATCACTGTATATATTATAGTCCTCACCCGGTACTTCAAGTAGTATATCAGGTAAAAGCTGCGCAAGCTTCTCCAAGAAGTTCATTATTTACTCTATTTACATCTCCCTCAAATTTGTGGGCTTGGACAAGGTGATAAGTTTTCGCTCAAAACCAACGACACCGACATCGAAGCCGATGTTGAAAATTCCGCTAAGGAGCTCTTATTGCTCTTGCCTTAAAATTTACCACCCTTATCGTATGGGGAGGGTGTATTGTTGGAGCTGATAAACATCCTTTTGCAAATCACGTGCTGCTTCGAGCATAATTTCATTACCAGTTAACATAGTTATGACCATAATACAAAGTGCAAGTGTCAGTGCCGCGAGAATTCCCGTGCGTGCTGTTAACTCCCTAGTTTTGTTATAATCCTAATAACATTTATAGACGCAGTATTGTAAGTACAGCAGATCATTAAGTTTGTATGATAAATGCATGGAGAAGTATGACACAAAATGTATAGCAAACTACAAAAATGGCATAATTTAAAATGCTTTTGTTAACCTTCATTTTCGATCTATTGGTATCAAGCAACTGTGCTTCAACTCAAGTGTTCTTGGGAATATAGGTGGCGGAACTGTGCATCGTATAGCAGAAATTGATTTGAATTTCTAAGCACATGTTTCAAAATGTGGTGGGCTCCATTGCTTTAGTCTAAAGTGTTCCTATTCAATATTTCAGGCATTGTCATGTGAACAAATCAAGTGCATAAGCAAGAAACCATGAGGAGGTCACGAAAACATTCCATAACGCACAACCTCCTTGGCATTGCGTAGCAACAATTGATGAAACATGTCCAGAGGTATGGAGGGTACTGAAAATAAAGATATCGACGAAGTATTAGTGTATGTTATATAATATTCTGAGGTAGGCTATGCACTTGAGCAACTTCTATGTTGAAAATGAATAAATGTTTTTGTGAAACATTCTACGCTTGTACAACTTTCAGCGCACTCACTGAAATGAAAGTAAAGAGAAACAGATTGAAGGGTGCGACTCACAAGGGAGCCCTGCTCATGCTTAGCAGATTCTTGAAAAAGAAATATTTCGCGGAAGTACGTTCGTAAACTAGTGAATTTAGAGCGAGCTCATTCGACGGTAGTGTAGAATAGTATTGCAGGCGCTTTGTAAGCTAGCCTTTCTGTTCGCAAAACTTAATTGGCGTTCAAATTTGAGTCCAGGAAGATATAACGTTTCTAGGAAACATTAAACTTACGTCAGAATATTGCTGTGGCCTGTCAGAGATGAGCACTACAGAGAAGTTGACGGCGTTTAGCGATCTCTTGTGCGAACCATGCAGACACCATCTTGCACACCTTTCTGCATTCGAGAGCCGCACATGCGTTTCAGCATCGTTTCAGCATCGTTTTTCAGCTAGGAGAGAGGCGTCATGAGTTGGGGAGTGTGAAAGCTGAAAATCATAAGTATTTTCGGCACGCCATCTGGGCACCATCTTGCTGTACAGAAAGAACTCGTGTGACGAGCTTTGACTTGCACCGAGTTACACGAGTCATACTTATTTCCACTTCGCTCGTGATCAGCCGCAAGATTGTTAAGAAGATGCCTGAAGTGGAAAAGGTCGTTCAGATTCTCCAAGGACACACGTATGATGCGTTATCTTTCTCACGATTTTGCGTTTTCTCAGCACGGCTATAAAGACATCCTGCAAATTCCTTATGTAGCATCAATTTTAACAGCGTCCGACATTGCTGTGCGCGTCTTCCACCACAAAACGGAAACAGAATATTCAGTTTGTAACCGGGTTCATGGCCCCAACGACTTTTTCATCGCAATTTCTCCCAGGTAGTTCTGCGTGAAATAAGGCCAGCGATGACCTGTAAGCGCTTCGATCAATTAACAGACCTGGCTACCACCTACTAAATGCACCTGATCTGTCGTGAGTCTCGTACGCTGAACCTTGCTACTGAGCTTGGGCAAATAACAGCCCTCTCATAAAAGTATCTCTGCTTATGCTGTGGACTTCCTGCTCTTATTTCACGCACTCACCGCAATACCTGGTGGTCGCCGTCATGGCCAACTTTTACAGGCAGATAATGCGTGCTTGATGGTACCCATATACCAATGCCGATAGAAAACGACGCCACTGCGCAATCCTTGCGACTAATTCGCTCACCGTCGCCATGCCGACGCTTTTGGCCGCACTTCTCTGCGTTATCACTCTCCATCCTCCTATATACTCTCGTGCATCCTCGAAATTGCACCGAATGCTGGTGTTATGGTGAGCCTGCCTCAACACCACTCAAAATTCATCTGCTTATGGTGACTGGACAACCCGATCCAGCCAAATTGAAAGTTTAATGGCACACCTGTCATTGCACAAATTGCCACCGGTGCTGGCATATCGTTTTATGAACAAAATGCTGTGTGCTAGACGAAAGAAGCATCTTACTCCTGCTTTGGTTGCTGTAGTCGGCTTAGCTGATGATGCAACTCTCTTTGACACTGTGATGTATATCGCCAGTGTTACTGTTGCTGGAAGCGATACTGCCAGTGACTGTAACTGTTTTTATTTAGGGATCGAAGCAATGCCTACCTGAAATCAGCTTAGGACTTGATTTTTTTCAATGCGGTTTGGCCTTTATTGTCTATTCCACGGGTCTTCTTCAGCTCACTTAACAATATTTCTTTAAATTTCCTCATTCTACGCCGCGTATAGGCTCTGTTTTGCTGATTATGTTCGACTGTCTTCACAGGCCGTTGCGTACATCGGCCGCTGTTTCCATACACCCATGGCCTAAAGTGATTATCGCGTGTCTACAGAGCTACCGTACCCTGCTCGCGAACCATCACGTTCCGACAGACGGTCGATAGTATAAAGGATAATGCCATGAATCGTACTATCGTGAATGTGAACTATGCTCTCAAGGGCTACCACAGTGCATCTCTCTTGCAACCCTTGTCCTTTGATATTTGAGACATAATGACGCCAGCCAGTCGTAAGGGGCAGAGTGGCAGAGTGGCAGACTTTATTGAGGTCCTGCAAAGCACGCGCCTGCACATAGCGGGCGACTTCCACATCAAGACTGTGAGGCCAACCTTGTTTGTTGGCTGTGGGTGGCTGTTAAAAATGTAGCAGTTGCTCTTTTTCACCTTTTTTGTTTCCGTTTTGCCAGTAGAAACATTTTAGGTATTTTTTTAAGATTACCAGCAGCCGTTTTTCAAAAACTTCTAACCAGAAATAGATCCTTTGGAACAATGATTCGAGTTCTTTTGTTACTCGCGGCTTTCTGTCTCAACTACTTCAAAAGATATATAATTGAAATCGTTCTTAACTACGGAATTTTTCATTACACAAAAATCATGATGACCCAGGTTGACACAAAGACATAGCGCTGAAGTCACCACACTTCTTATTTCTTCGAAGACAAGGATTTTTTATGGAGAATACCGTCAGTGTAATTGATGTCACCAGCCCTCTTAAAGTTTCTCCCACCACAGCAAAGGTAATTACAAAATCAGTGAGCAAATGTTTGATCTCTCTTGCTTTTGAAGATTTTCGAATACAGTTTTTGAAACACACTCCATGGGAAGCGTGCAGCACCAACACGTGGCGCAGCAGTACACTGCACCTATACGCCCCCAGCGCTGTTATTGGAGACTAGTGGTATATTCCATTTAACTGACACGCAACGAATTGCCCTCTCTGCGTTAGCTACTGCCACGTTTTAATAAATTATGTGTGAGCGAAGGTGACAGCTTTGTTAAAACGAGTAGGCTTTTATAAAATTAACAGTGCACAATCTTTTTGTCGCCCCAACTGAAAAGAAAGAACATACGCTTACGGAATCAATCATGTTTTCGATGTCGCGTGTAGCACAAGCTCCACCATCCCGGAATTAGGCGGTGACGCCAATGCTTTCTTCGTTGGTGACATTTTGTAACACCACATCAATCTTCGTTGCTGGGCTCCGTCCATGTAACAACTTCTATCTGCGTCGTTTCTTGTACGGCCATGTTGTACGTAAAGGTCACGTACCGAGGGATCACATCTCACGTCCTGTTTTCGAGGTCGACATAGACGGGAAGCGAGTCGGCGATAACTTTGTTTAGGCGCTCGGTGAGGCCCTGGGACTGTGACTGGTAGGCGGTGGTTCAGCGGTGATTGGTCTAGCTGTACCTCATTATCACCACAGTTAGGTTTGTAGTAAGCGCTGTACCTTTGTCGGCAATTAGGACATCCGGGGCGTCATAACAGAGAATAATGTTCTCGACAAAGACGCTTCCTTAACGTTAACTCGGCAGCACCACTTCTGGGCAGCGCCCTTGTCTCGGTGTAGCGTGCGAGGTAGTCAGTAGCTACAATGATCTATCCGTTTTCGGTATTCAACGCCAGAAACGGCCCCACCAGGTCTATGCCGGCTTACCGGAAGAGCCAGAGAGGTGACTCGACGAGCTGCAGAAGTTCAGCTGGCCCAGTCGGCGTTGTTTTCCTTCGCTGACAGTCTGGGCAGGTCCTTTCTAGAGGGTGGCGTCAGTAGTGAGGCGGGACCAGTAGTACTTTTCCTTTGTCTTCGAGAGCGTACGGGCGAATTCGCAGTGTCCTGCCGCAAGATCATCATGCAGAGCAAACAGAAGTTATGGGCGTAACACTTTAGATACTACTATGAGGTAGTAGGTCCTTTGTGGTGACAAGCTTTTCTTGAGAAGGACGATTTTATGCAAAGAAAACAATGTCAATCCTGGATTCATTATGATGGGAACAACGATAGCGTTGCTTTCGGGATATAGCAAGAGGTCCTTGATTTACGGGTGGGCTCGCTGTGGTTCGGCGAAATCATCGATGCTTGAAAGCACCCTAGACGTAGTGTTCGCTCTTAAAGGACAGCCAACAAACATTGGAATTGTGACCTGGTGCGAAAATATTTAAAGGGCTCAAACTCTCCTTATACCGTACCGTAGGCTGTATTAGAAGATATAGATATGCAGAGACAGTTCCAAGGAAAGCACGCCCAAGGATTATTGGTCTATATCTAGTGCACAAGTCTATCAACCAGTACTGCTGAATTTAAGGGTTTTCAACATAGACACCAATCGCCTCGTTATTCTGCGAGTTTATTCAGTGTTTTTGCTACGGATTAACAAACTAAAAAGCTGGAAAGAGAAAGAAGTTGAAAACTTTCTGACAATGGGTGACCTGTGTCACAAAACCTTAGTGTCAAAAAACTTTTAGACAATGGGTGACTCAAGTCACAGAGCCTTCGGGTCATGGGCGCTCTGCCAAAAGTCGCTCTGCCTAACGAACACATTACAAATATTTCTGGTAGAAATTGTATCTTGCGCATTATTCCCTCTTCCCATTTAAACTTCAGTGCTGGTAGCTCTGTATTTACCTGTCGGGGGCACTGTGAACGTGATCACGCCATAATGGGTGTATAGATGAACGACAAGCGGGGCCTCTGTATTGTTCCGGACTTAAAACATTCGAGTGGCACACCAGCACAACAGAAGCTCTCTGTGCACACTGATTGACTGAGGGCCATGTGTTTAGGTTTTTTTAAACGCTTCTTCACCTTGTTTCTGAGGACAAAAGAAACATCCAGAGGGTGTCTGCCTCCGCCTAAAAAATAACAAATGCAGCTTTTCATTTGAAAGTGCCTTAAAGCAGACAACGGACTCTGCGCGTTCACCCAGAGACTACACCGATGATCTCTTGTGTTGAAGTCAGCGTGACCTTTTCAGAGCACTTGCTTAGTAAGCCTAGCAGTATTGTCAAAAACTTTGTATAAACAAGGCATAGTCCACCTAAACATATGCCTATCAAGAAGAAGTGATTGATTTATCTAGGCTTTGTTTAGAGACTTCTATACTATTCATGCTTAACCGAACTGCGGACGAGCGAGCAACATGACAATGAGTTCTTCTGTGATCTTTCTGTGTCTCGGTTATAAATACGTTGTAATGAAGCACATGTACATTCATTCATGAAGGCTCCCTGTGTACACGTCATCTACGGTATGCTTCGCCCAAGCATTATTCTTCTTTGTGTCATTTTACAGCACTGCATTGGCGAGAACTCATCGCAAAGTGGTGAGTTATAATCTTTGAATTTATCACTTAGTTATTTTTGAGGGCTATGAGCCGCTGTTCGACAACAATGCGCTGATCTGTTGCACATCACCACTTAGGTTCGAGTCACGGCTGGGACGCTTCTCTTTTTCAATAAGTTTGAAAAGGTAAATGCTCATGAACTTAGATTAGGTTGATATTGTGAGCACTACATAATTGAAAATATTGCACTCTTAATAAGGTCCTGCTTAAATGTTGATTATATCCAGAAAATCGGACGAAACATTTTTCGTTTTTTGTCTATATCTAGTGCTTTAAGCAGGACAGATTAAGAGTGTCGAGAAGGAAAGGTGCACTTAGCCAGCGAGGACGTAGATATTCGCGTGGCGGCGCACTTTGCAATTGGGATGTTCAGTACCGTTGTCCAGTTGACGGAAACCCTTTTTGCACCTAGACACAGCACATCCACCACTAATTCATAACCTCCAACTGTTAAACAAAAGTGAAGGACAGCAACTGTGTCAGTGGAACAGCTTCCCTCGTCAGTCATTGAAAAATGCGCAAGGTACTAAACAAAAGTGATAACCAAAGGCTAAATTTCAGGGCATTACACAGGATATTGAACACACTGGTATTTTTCGATTGTGCTAGAGCGTGAAAAAAAACACATGACTTACTGAGGCATCCATAAGACAGACAGGGCGTGCGTGTGGGTCTTTATTATGGTTGTCTTAATAAGTCACTTCGTTTCCTTCGCACTGTAACAAAATGAATGAATAAACATGGGTATTTTAGGCACCCAGATATATCCAGGCAATATAAAAACGTCTTATACACCACTAAAAATGAGGAGACTAAATAGGTTCGGAGACTCCAATTTCATATATGTGGATCCAATTTTAGTTAACATAAATGAAAAAAAATGGCCAAGAAGATGTGCGGGATATGTATATACAGCACGAAAGTGAAAAAATTCAGTGTTAATGATCGGGGAAACGCTTCAACAGGAAGCTGATGAATGCGTCAGCAGTCTCCGTCTAGGGATACCGGTAAGTATATTGGCCATCGATAATCATGATCTGCGCTAGGACACGCCAGCATCTATACAAGTGGCATCGAAGTCTTCATTCATATTGGTTGTGGCTGCGTTGGCTCAAAAATAAAGTGTGGTGCTTTCTTCATGCTGCGGAGCTCTTTGGCACAGTTTGCGCAAAGCAATCGTTATACACGTATAAGTTGCAGAGGAGAAGCGTGCATGGCCATATATACGCAATGCCAGTAGAGTGACTTTTTAAGGTGACCTCACTACATACCCCTCGCCAGAGGCGATTACATGAAAGACGAGCAATGATAAGATCGTCATCTTGTACTCGTTATTAGAATAGAGCTTCAGCATTGTGAGAATTCTTATGCAGAGTTGAACAATATTCTCTAAACACGTGAAATCATTGAGTTGCTAACGTATTGCGATAGTTTGTGATAAAGCCGACAATAACGCCTTACCAAAAACTACTTCAATCCAAGTCACTTTTCAGTGGCATATATACATTAAACATCATCTGCTCATATAGTGCTCATGGTACACTATATTGTCAGTGAAAAGAAATTATTCATATATTTATAAAATTTCAGATGCTGTTACTACAGAAATTGGCGATGGAGTTGAAGCAAAGGTGTACATTGTGTATGACACGGAAGACTATGCTACGAAATACACACGTCAAGAATACCGCAAAATGGGCGTTGTGTGGTACTTTATAAAGCTCTTTGAAAATGTAAGACGTACGCTACATTGTTCAGCGCTATACGCTTTTGTGCTTTAAATTGGTTCATGAAAGAAGATTATTGCAGAAAGTTTTAGTGAAGATGGTTTTTTTGGTTAATATGAACTATATCAAGTAGTTCACTGCAGCGTAAGACACTCTGCGTACTTTGAAAAGCAGTCACTTCTCAAAAAAAAAAATAACGCAATATCATCATCTCACCACAAGTGCAAAGCAACAAATGCTACAGCTACGAAGTCGAATCGTGTACAAATTAGACTATCAGACAACTTCTTTTTAATCATATGTGACGTAAATAAAGAAAGCACTGGCGCAAGAAAACATAATCGTTGTCAGCCAGAGAAACGACCAGCTGCTGCCTATATCTTTAACGGGAACTGAGCTGTAGTAACGAGGTTTTCATGTTTTCGTGGTTTAATTTCTTGATAATACAAAGCTGTAGTCTCAAATAATATTATTCTTTTTTATTTGGCTGAAAATCACAATTTATTTTCGCAAACTTCCAATAATCTGAATTGATGTGTCTATATTTGTATTACAATATGTTGCAATGCCTTTTTTCATAATAATTATTTCCAATGAAGTTCCGTTGGTTTGTTGCTGCTGATATTTCTTCTCTTTTATGTGGTTATTTTTCTCACTGGCTGAAAACCCGGCTCTTAAGAATGTTCGTGTGCACTGTTGTAGGATTGCCAGTCTGTACTTTTGAGAGCCTGAGCTAATCAAGCTTTACCATACGTCGTCAAATAAATTCCATCAGACAATGGCACATACCCGTTGGCAGCTTTAATTGTGACATTGGTATGCAGGTATGTGCGACAGGGAATTGGCGCTTTGTATCTACCTAGAAACGGCAAGAGCACACAGTAGTAATTTCAACACGTGTGCGTAAGGAGAAAGCTCAGTTCGGCAGTTTTGACCCGAGAAATGCGAAAAATAATTGTGAGGATTCCAGCTTGAATCAAACACTAGTGTTCTGCGTGGCACCCGAGTACTCTACCAGAAAGTTTCAGGTCTCGGAAGTACCGATAAAATATACTCTAATGTTCGTGAAACGCCAATTCTTTCAGTGCTGGCTATCCAAATATATAAACAATATGTACCCCTATGACAAAGCCGTCACGTCGAGCTAACGTCAGTTGTAGTTAGGTGCCAGACGCTGACGTTCATTTATGTAGCAATGTTCAGGGCTACCATACTAGCGACCACCAGCACTTTATAGTTATGACTTTTGGTATTGCTAGTACTTATGTTCCGGTTAGCAACGTTGCGCAAGTGCAAACAACTGGTCATAGAAACATCTGCAACTTTTCAAAATGTCTGTGCGTGCAACTTTTGTACATACATTTAGCGTCATTTCATAACGTGTCGCTATCTGAAAAAATTACAACACCGTCGCCTTACTTCAGCATGCTTCGCATAACTTCCGTTTCCAAAGTGCGTGGGATCTGTTGAATTGTTTTGACCTAGCTTCTCTTATCTTTTTGCTGAGAAATACAGGAGTTTATTATTAATAATAAAATTATTATATATAATATTTCCATACTCCAAGCCTTAGATGAATTGATAGCCGTCTACAAAAATGTTCAAACCCAGCAATTGTATTTTCAAAATCTGGAATGTTTCAGCATGCAGATATGCACACAAACTTGCACAAATGCTTTAATACAAAGGAGTTTCATGTGATCGTATTACAGCCTTAAAGCTGGTTGTAACATACGCAAGCATAGTTTACGAGGCTGCTGCCTCCAATGAAGGTAAACTTGTTTCGATTGATGCTTCTCGGCTTCAAAAATTCTCGAGGCACTTGCAGAGTGCCCTCTCGAAATTGAACTTCATCGAAAAAACTTGAACCGGGAAACGTTTTATTGATGATTTATTGGATTTTTTCGCATTTGTCCGAACATATATAGAAATCTAGCCTTAACACGTAGCCGTGGTCACTACACAACAAAAATTTGCTGCCGCTATGCAATAGTGGTGTGAAAGTTAAGGAAACATCAATGCTGGTGCCCTTCGTCCCTTTCGCTGTTTCCTGCTTTTGACCGTGACAATTCGTCCCCTTGCCCACACTTCAATTATAAACTCTCTCATTATACAAAACCATTCACGGCTATGCTGTGCTTCACCTTTTCCCACCTGTTTGCGTCTGCCTATCATTCACTCTTCTTACCCACCCGTTACTCTGCTATAAATGACTATTCCTGGGTGAAACAAATTTTTTTCTTCAGTCCATTACATACAGTATATATGTGTGTGTGTAATGCACTTTCGTCAGGGTTTTCGACGAAAACCCTAAAGAAGATTTGTGCACCGCTCGAAACCGTTACCGTTGGGAATAAAATTAAGACAGTCGCTAAGTTGTCTCTTCTGCTTCATCTATCTATCTATCTATCTATATATATATATATATATATATATATATATATATATATATATATATATATATATATATATATATATATATATATATATATATATATATATATATATATTGTTACGGGGAAGATTTATTCACCGAGAGCTGGTCTTGCTAACGGCTTAAAGAGCGCACAGTCATGCAGGCCAACGGGAGAAGCTCGAGAGTCCAACCCACTACAACCACGTTGTCATCTTCTTCATTTGGGTGCCAATTCAGCTGTGTCGGGGTGACAGTTTCATACACGTATCATCACCCCGGCCCGTAAGGCACCGTCTCGATGCCTGTTAAATGAGCGAGTCGGTGTTGTAGGGCTTGAGACGAGAAACGTGGACTACTTCCGTTCTGGGTGCAGCAGCTGATGAGTTTGTGGTAGCGGAAATCTCGTAGGTCGCAGGTGTGACCTGACGAATGACTCGGTAGGGCCCGGCGTATCGCGATAGTAGTTTCTCGCAGAGGCCAACACGTCGAGATGGGAGCCACAAGAGAACAAGAGATCCCGCAGAAAAAACGGCATCTCTATGTTGACGGTCGTAAACGGACTTCTGTGCTGTCTGCGACGACGATAACCGAGCGTGCGCTACCGCGCGTGCCGTGAGGGCCCGGGTGATCGCATCCTGAGCGTACGAAGTGGAGGATGGGTGGTCTGATGAAAGCAGTGTGTCAAAGGGCAGTAAGGGATGACGTCCGAAAAGTAGATAAAAAGGGGAGTAGCCCGCTGTTTCATGACGCGACTAGTTATAGGCGAAGGTTACGAACGGAAGAGCTACGTCCCAATACGTGTGGTCGGTAGATACGTACATGGAAAGCATGTCCGTCAATGTGCGGTTTAGGTGCTCCGTGAGGCCGTTAGTCTGAGGGTGGTAAGATGTGGTGAAGTTGTGACGGGTAGCACAAGATTGGAGTAGGTCATCAACCACACGAGATAGAAAGTAGCGACCACGGTCTGTGAGCAGGTGAGTCGGAGCGCCATGCTGGAGAATAATGTCGTACAGCAGGAAGTCGGCAACGTCGGTTGCGCAGCTGGTTGGTAGCGCTCGAGTGATTGCATACCGAGTGGCATAGTCTGTGGTCACTGCAATCCATTTATTTCCAGTTGTAGAAGTAGGAAAGGGACCTAGCAAGTCCAACCCCACTCGATAAAATGGCTCGGCTGGAACTTCAAAATGTTGAAGAAGACTGGCTGGGGGAGTCGTAGGCTTCTTTCGGCGCTGGCAGAGGTCACAAGATGTGACGTAACGGCGAACAGAGCGGTACAGACCCTTCCAGAATACTCGTCGTCGAATGCGGTCGTAAGTTCTGGAGACTCCTAGATGTCCAGAAGCTGGAGCGTCGTAGAATTGTCGCAGAACATCCTTTCGCAGGTGATGCGGTACGACGAGTAAAAGTTCCGCGCCGTCGGGGTGTAAGTTGCGGCGGTACAAAATGTTGTCTGGAAGCAGGTATCTGCTAAGAGAAGGGTCAGCATAACGCGATTGAAGGCGGTCAATGATGGTGAGCAACGATGGATCTCGGCGCTGTTCGTCAGCCACGTTCAAAAAGTCAGTGATGGCTAAAACGCAGGCATCGGATTCCAAATCAGTGGAGCTAGGTGGATCAACGGGGTACCGTTGATCCACCTAGCAGTCAGCATCGCTGTGCAGCTTTCCAGATTTGTAAACAACCGAGAACGTGTACTCCTGTAATCGAAGAGCCCATCGGCCGAGTCTTCCTGTAGGGTCCTTGAGCGTCGACAGCCAGCAAAGCGCATGATGGTCCGTGATGACTGCGAACGGACGTCCGTATAAGTACGGACGGAATTTCGCGATAGCCCAAACGAGGGCTAAGCATTCCCGCTCAGTTATAGAATAATTTTGTTCCGCTTGCGACAAAAGGTGGCTAGCGTAGGCTATCACACGGTTGGTGCCATTCTGTATCTGAGCGAGTATAGCACCAATGCCATGGCCGCTTGCATCGGTGCGAAGCTCTGTTCGAGCCGTTGGATCAAAATGAGCCAACACAGGTGGTGAGGTGAGGGCGGTAATTAGCGACGCGAAGGAATGTTCTTGGTCCCTTCCCCAAGAGAAGGCCACATTCTTTTTGAGGAGATCCGTGAGGGGCCTAGCAATATCCGCGAAGTTGAAGACAAAGCAGCGGAAGTATGAGCAGAGCCCAATAAAACTGCGAACTTCTTGTATGGAGCGCGGAACCGGGAATTCTCGGACTGCACGGACTTTGTCAGGGTCGGGTTGAATACCAGTGGCGTCAACAAGGTGGCCGAGTAGTTTAATCTGCCGACGTCCAAATGAACATTTCGAGGAATTCAGTTGGAGACCAGCGCAACGAAAAACGTCAAGAATTGCCGAGAGACGAGACAGGTGGCTTTCGAAGGAGGGCGAGAAAACTATTACATCATCCAGATAGCAAAGGCAGGTCGACCATTTGAAACCGCGAAGAAGAGAGTACATCTTACGTTCAAACGTAGCCGGGGCATTGCACAACCCAAAAGGCATGACCTTGAATTGGTAAAGGCCGTCGGGTGTGATGAATGCTGTCTTCTCGCGGTCGCGGTCGTCGACCGAAATTTGCCAGT